AATATATGGGAGAGGAATACAGTATGGAGAGATAAACAAATAGTTATATTAATACTACTAACAACGAGGTCAGTACTGCGGTAATTAAAATTAAAAACGGGCGATCTCCAGTGACCTGGCAATATAGCTGTACAGTTACTTAAGGCAGGAGGTCCACTCCTAATAGAACGAATAACTTTGCTAATGAATCAATGCTGCCAACAAATTAAAGTACCATCTGAATGAAAACCGCTCACAGATCACAGAAAAAAGGTCCTAACTGCTACAGAGGATTAAGTGTCCTACCTATTTCGGCAGATTGTTTGGAGAGATAACAAATGGAAAAATACAAGATGATGTGGGACATCTAACTAGCAAAGACAAAAGTTGATTTACGCGTGGTGGATCTTGCACTGATAACTTGTTCATACTCCAACAATTACTACATAAAGGAATAACGGTTGGTACTGAAGTACTTATAGCCTTCATCGACCTAGAACAGGCATATGATACAGTTTCAAGACTTAAATTGTGGTAAGCTTCACAACAATCGCCATTACGCCATAACTTTTAGGAATAATCACAGAAGTATACAGGGAATATCACTACTTACCTAAAAATCGGAAATAGATATCAGAGCCAATAAGTAACTAAAGGGCAAAGACAAGAATGCTGTACGTCACTCTTACTGTTTAATTTATATATTGGGACAGCCCTCCAAATTTGAAAAAACCACTGCCAGGGAATGGGAGTCCCCATAGAAATGACGTACTATTCTCCCCGAAACTTTGCGGATGACCAAGTCGTGTAGCTCAAGATTCTAATGATCTAGAATTTGATAAAGCGTCTATACAGAGAATATGTAAAATGGGGGTTACAAGTCAACATAAAGAAAAACAGAATATTTAGTTATCGATTCAGATGCAAGGTTTGACGTGTTGATAGAGGAGGATGCGCAAATTAAACAAGTGAAAAAATTTAAATATTTAAGTGCCCGCATTGATAAGAGCGGCTTGGGAGAAGCCGAATTAAACACCGAAATAATCAGAGACGTAAAATTGTAGGATGTCTGAATTCATTATGGTGGGATCGCAACATTTCCAAAAGAAACAAAAAAATAGGTCAAACCATGGTTGAATCAGTTCTTTGTTATAACTCTGAAG